CTGTCTGTCTGTCTGTCTGTCTGTCTGTCTGTCTGTCTGTCTGTCTGTCTGTCTGCCTGCCTGTCAGTCTTGCTTTCTCTGTCTCAGCTTCCGTTCCTTCTTATCGTTATAGAGACCGTGCGTGTAAGTACATTGTTGGTTAGTTTTTTGGCCCTTTTTTAAAACGGAAAAAAGAATTTTACGCTACAAATTTATTAGAAATGCACTGAATATGCTGTCGTGGGTATCAAATGAAGAATTAATTGTTTGCCCTCCAATCTTAGTTTGGTTGTGGGTTGTGGTTTGCGGCGTTTTTTTTGGATAGGTCCATCTTCTCTCCTTTTTGTGGGTGGTTTGTGGGTGCTCTAGTGTGGTTTGCTCCTTCTTTCCTATCAAATATCCATATCTCTCCTTCCCCCTTTTTTTGATTATTACTTTCTTGTAATACCTTTAGTCTTTGGCACTTATAGGACCTTTTTGTGTTTCAAGTGCCGTAAAACTGTTACTAAAACTAGAAACTCTCTGCTTTATTTCTTTATATTCTGTTTCATTTTCCACCTGCACTAAATAAGTCTTAGTGTTATTTCGTTGTATTTTTCCATACTCAAGATTGGGAATCGAGTTTCTGGCTAACTTATGTATATCTGTTGTCTTGATCACGCGCCCTTAACAGCCACATTTCTGGACAGTGTCTACCACCACTGTCTGTTACGTGTGCTCTTTTGTTCGGTTGGTGGTGGGTGGTTGGCAGCTGCTCTCGTGTAGTTTGCTCTTTCTTTCCTATCGAATATCCATCGTCCTTATCTCGCCTACTTCTTTTCTTTGCATGTTCATCATCATCATCATCCTTGCCTTTCTCACCCTGGATCAGGGTATAGACCTCTTACAAACACTTTACACCTTTTTCCAAATTCTTGGCTAGCATTTTGATGTTTTTCTATGTCTTCCCACTTTTCTGTACATCTGTATATGTTACTGTCTTGTAGTTCCTCTATTCTGTTGCACGTATACGATCTAATTGTGTTGCAAGTGCCGCAAAACTCTTTCTAAAACTAAAATTTTGCGGTTGCTTTTTGTGTGTACGTTTTGTATGCACACTGTTTCACTCTTCACTCCAACATGCTGATGACTTTTCAAAGTGTCTGCTCTTTCTGGTCTTTGATGCATTCGGTTTACCTTCTACCAGACCCTCATAACGAATCTGAACACCCTACATCATTTTCTATTCTTAACGTTTTATAGGCCTACTCCCGTTCTACAATCGCTCGTGTTTCCCCAGAATGAGATTTCCGAATGGAGATCTCACGTCTGTTTGGCATGCTCGTAAAGACGGGCGTAAACATGCATGCATGCAACAGCAGGAGATATCTCCCCCCCCCCCCCTCAAAAAAGAGGAAAGAAAAGAAAGGGAAAAGTAAAAGAAAGAAAGAAGGGAAAAGTGTCTCACTCCCAAAAGTGCGCGTGATGCAGATAATGCACATACTCGATTCTCGCCAGACGAAACAACAAAAAAAAAAACGATCTTCTTTATAGCTTGTCTTAGTTTTTTAAAGGGATTTTTTTTTCTCCTTCTTTTTGGGAGGTTTTGTTTTGTTCCTGTTGTTGTATGGCCCGCTGAGTGATTTCCCACGTCGTGTGTTGTGCTCATCATGTTTTGTTCTTGTTTGGTTTGATTAGATTGAAATTTGATTTGATTCCATCTGAATTTGATATGATTTGATTTGGATTTGAATTTAGTGTAATTTGATTTGAATAAATATTTTATTTTATTTTATTTTATTTCATTTCATTTCATTTTTATTTTATTTTACTTAATAGCGGATTTTTTCATCTTCAAGCAATATTTCTGATTGATACATGCATGTCCAGCCGTTCTTATAAGAATTTCTTCTCGTTTCTTTCACAGTGCTATGCGCGAAGAATATTGCCAAGAAGGACTTCTTCCGTGAGTATTTATGACCATAGTAATGTTTAATTATGATAAAAATAATAATGATAATACTAACAATAAAGATATTATTTTAAAAAAAATTATTTTTATTGTTA